CCTGGGCTGCATCAAAAGCAGCTCGGCCAGCAGGCTGAGGGAGGGGATCCTGCCTCTCTGCTCTGTGCTGTGAGACCTCACCTGGAGCACTGTGTCCAGGTGTGGAGTGCTCAATACAGGAGAGATGTGGGCCTCTTGGAGAGCGTCCAGAGAGTGGCTACAAAGATGCTCCACAGAATGGAACACCTCTCCTATGAGGACAGGCTGAGAGAGCTGGGTTCAGCATGGAGAAGAGAAGCTGTGAGGCTACCTGAGAGCGGCCTGTTGGTGTCTAACAGGGAGCAACAGGAAAGAAGGGGACAGACCCTTTAGCAGGGTCTGTGGTGGTAGAACAAGGGGAAATGGTTTCAAGCTCAAAAAGGGCAGATATAAGGAAAAAATCTTCTACAGTGAGGGTGGTGAGGCACTGGAACAGGTTGCCCAGTGATGTGGTTGACGCCTGTCCCTGGAGACTTTCAAGGCAAGGCTGGATCAGGCCCTGAGCATCCTGATGGAGCTGTGGTGTCCCTGTGCATTGCAGGGGAATTGAACTAGCAACTCTAAGGATCCTATGATTCTATAATAAACAGTTCACTCCTTGTGAGATTGCATCATAAATGAATAAGATGGTGTGAGAGCAAGGAAGTATTTTCTGTTTTCTGCTGGGGAAGCTGAGGCTCAGAATTAAACAACTTGCCTAAGAGCAGGAGGTCTGGCTTGCCAAGAGCCAGATTCCAGTCTCCTGAGTCAGGGCCTTGTGCCTTATCCACAAGACCAACCTTTCCCTTGTAGCATTTCCTTTCTCTCCACCCTGTTTTGAGGGAAGGAACAGTAGCATTGTTCTATGTCAAACAAATTTAAAGCATAATACAGGAGAACGGCTGGGACAACTTTTGAGTTTATCATTAATTTGGAAGCCATGACTTTTCTTGGAATGGCTTCTGCATTGGAACCCTCCTCAGCAGGAGCAATAACCACAAAAGCTTCAACCACCAAAAGACCTATCTTTAAATAAGAGGCTTTTGAGATTAAAAAAAAAAAAAAGAAAAAAAAATTAAAAACAAGTAAAAAAATAACAAAACTACTCAACACGTACTTAAAACAATAAAAACTTTTCGAAAGGCACGGGAGATTGGAAATTACTATTCAGGAGAGTGCGTGAGACATGAAATGGAGTGGTCAAGAAAGCAGGACTTCAACTTTGTTCCATAAGTGGTTAAGGTACATATATTTTTTAATTTGTGATTTTTATTCATAGTACATAGTGGTACCAGGAGAGCCTAGTTCTGTAAGTACCTTAATGCCTGCTTGCCTACTTAATCAGGCTGGTGACAAGGGGCTTATCTTTGACATGTCAGATAGCTGGGAAGAGAAAATAAAGACTGAAGTTTGCCTTTGCTGCTGCGTTGCAGAGCAGGCTTCAGCAGACTTGATTGGGCAATGCTTGTGCTAAGCACCACTAAAGGCTGTCATGTTGACAAGTATCCTGTCAGTCACTCTGTTTTCTTTTGCTGTAGGAATTGAGTGGTTTTTTGTTTTGGGGGTAGGTTTTTTTTTTTCTTTTTTTTTTTCCCCCCCCCACTCTGTCCTTTTCTGTTGCTGCCCCATGACATTGAGGGGTTGTTCAGCCTGGAAGAAAAAGGCTGCAAGGAGACTTCATTGCAGCCTTCCAATATTTAAAAGGAGTTTATAGACACGAGGGTAATCAACTGCTTACACAGGTAGATAGTGATAAGATGAGGGGAAATGGTTTTGAACTAAAGGAAGGGAGATCTAGATGATTAGATGTCAGGGGGAGGTTTTTAACTGAGTGGTGAGGCACTTCAACAGCCTGCCCACAGAGGATGTGAATGCCTTGTCCCTGTTCAAGGCCAGGCTGGATGGGGCTCTGGGCAATCTGATCAAGTACTTGATCTAGTGGCTAAATTAAGTTTGCCTGTGGCAAGGGGGTTGGAATCTGATAAACCTTGAGACGTTCTATGATTCTCTGCCAGATTAGGAAACTGAATTCCTTACAGAATTTCTTACAGCAGTCTAGGTGTTAACAGGGCCAGCGTGGCAGCTGATGTCAAGCAAAAAAGGAGGAGCAAGGACTTGTCTTTGGATAAGTGGAGAAAAATGGGATCTTAAACAACTTTAACTGGAAGACAGGAAGTGAAGCACTGGATCAAACTGGTTTAAGAATTCTGGTATCTTGCCTCTGGCTACACAATAGCCAGCTGACAAAAATAAGTGATGCACCTGGCTTCTGTTATGCAATGTTACAAGAGGGGAATTCCGCCCTATTTGCAAAGATCTGCACATGCCCGAAGTTATGACATGTTCTTAAACTCTGTGTCAGTTGCTGACTGGGTTTCTGTGATTGCTAGCACTATCCTGCGCTTCTCAAGTTTGCATCACTCACATGGGGATGATCCCATGCCATAAATTCAGCTTAAGGCAGAGTAAAGCTGCATACAGGGCAGTCACTGGAATAGAGCACCGTATACTTTCATGGTTTTGAATAGGGCTTTTCATTTATTTGGTTTGGTATTGGTCTTTGGCCTTAGAAGGCTTCTCTCTTACTGTACAACTTTTCCCTAGTTTAGGAAAATGAGTATATGACAAAAGAGTTACGTTGGGTTTGTTTTGTCCCAGAAATATGTTCTTTGCTATGCCTCTGCTTGTGTCTACTGCTGCACAGAGGGAAATGGGCAAGAAATTTCCACTCACACTGTTCTTTCTCCAGTCACTTTGTTCAGAGATCTCCTGAGCCAAATCTGTCCATCAGTGCAAATAAATCTGCCACATGAACCACTTCTATCATTGGCTCTACTGTTGCTTTATTAAAGCTTCTTTTCACTTTAGAGGAGAAGTATAGATAGAAGTCTTTTGGATGCTACAGAAGTACACCTCACTTAACTTTTTCTCAAAAACCAACAAACCATAAAGCAACAGCGTGCATCACACACATCGATGTGCGTGGCTAATTCCCCAGTTTCTGAAACGGTCCTAAGGAATACCTCTGGGTAGCCCGTTTCTGCAGGCCTGAAGACTTACACATCAGAAGGACTGGGTGCTGATGTTTTAGTCAAACAGATGGTGGTTGTATGCTTGGAATATTGCCTTCCGCACCAGCATACGCCGCGCACCTTACAACATTTTCCTTATGAAGAGGGCTTCCGCTGCGAGGCACAGAGCTCCCCAGGTGCCTCTGTCTGGCCCTATCCAGCAGCGCCGCAGCACAGCTGTCAGCCGCGCTTGGGGAAGCAACAAGGTTTGGCCTTCCGGAAAGCCTGCAGCTTACAGTCTGAAATCGAGCGAACCAGGCCGGACGGAAAGAACGAAAGGAAAGGAAAGCGCGGCCGTGCGGAACCGCCGCCCCAGCCCTCGGATTGCAGCGCTCCTCCGCCGCGCCCGGGCCGAGCCGCCGTCCCGCGCAGGCCCAGGCGCTGCGGGGGCGGGCGGGGGGCGGGCCGCGCGAGGTCGGGAAATTCCCCCCGAGTAGAGCGGCGAGCGGGTGGAGAGGTAGGGCCGCGCCTGTTCGTGTGAGGTGCGGGCCCGGAGGCAGTCCGCGGCGGCAGGGCCCGAGCGGCGGCCGGAGCTGTCGGCATGGCGGGTGAGCGGCGGGGCGGCGACGAGTGGGGCGGGCGGCGGGAGAAGCGCGGCGGCGGGCAGCGCCTCTTGCCGTGCCGCGCGGCGGCCGGCGCCCTTCCTTCCTCCCGCCTGTCGCGGCGTCCTCGTTCGGGGCGCGGGGAAGCGCTGAGGCCGGCTGCCGTCCCGTTTGCCGCGAGCTGCTGTTGGCCGCTCTTCTTCCGCCGCGTCCGAGCGAATCCCGCCGGCGGGCGCGGCGCGGGTGGCGGGCGGGCTGAGCGGCAGCTCCGTGCTTTCACCGCGCCGCCCTGCCTTGCTTGGAGCTCCGTGCGGTGCGCCTTGTTCAGGAGGCTTCCGGCCGAGGCCAGCGAAGGAACAGCGCGAGGGTGTTCAGACCGGTGGCAGCTGTGCCTCCCGAAGCCTCGTGTCTCAGGTTCAGTCTGTGCTGTGGGCGTTCAGTAAGTGCTCGGGTGGCTGTGCGGGGCAGAGCCGTCAGGGTGCCGGTCCCAAGGGCTCTGGCTGCCGGGAGGATGTAGGTGCGTAAGGAACATGTCATAAATGCAAAGTAACGCGGGGATAAGGGCTCTTATATTGGGTGATTGCATTTAAAACCAAAATCTCTTTTGGTGATTTAAAAGAAGCCAGTTTTAGCATCAATTGGTGTTTGGAAGGAGGCTATCTACTCTCAGCACCAGACTCTGCTCTGCTGCCTTTAGCGCAGTACAAACTTTCACTCCTGTCAAGTGTATGCTTGCTCTACATTTTCTATTTGAGAAGGCTGAACTGAAGTGAGAGCTAGTGCTTTTTTCTCACCTTGAATGTGTTTTCAGTGTAATTAGGAACCAGATAAGGATTTTTTTCAGCAGGGGAAGTTTACAACTTCCTGGTACAGCTAGCTTTTGTCATTGTTTTTTTTTTTTCTTTTGGCTGTTGTTCTGTAAGGTCATACGATAGTAAAGAGGAAGTTTGTGAGCAGTTTTGTTGCCCTGTTAAAATCTGTGTGTTTCATGGGTTCCAAAGTAGATTACTGCTCTAAAATAAAATAATGAGTGCACTTTGGGTCATATTAGTTTTGAAGGAGATTGTAACAAATCTTCTGCCAGTGTCTCTTTTTCCTGAGCTCCTCCAAGAGGCTGAGCGCAAGTAGGGTGGGAGCACGTAGACAGTCGGCTGTTACTGCTCAGAACTGGCTGTTGCTGTGGAGGACGGAAGGTCACCAGTAATACGTAAGGAGATGTGACATCAAAGCTGGAGGGCATCACTTCTTGCTTCTGTGTTTCACTGCTGTCACCTGAGAGCATCAGAGTTTCGGGTGATACTTTCACATCTTCCACATCTTCCACAAAGACCCACAGCTGCTTTGCTTTCAAGCTTGGTGATTATTGGAGAGTATGTTCACAGGGTACTTACTACTGCTGGTTGTGCAGGAGAATTGCAAATCACGTAGCCTTCCAGAAGCACTGTTTTTTATTTATCTTTGAGCCAAGGAGTAACGCAGGGCGCACTGGACCCGTTGTCCTTCTGGTGGCAGTGTGTTACAGCCATGTTTCTTCCTGGTGGCACAGTCATGCTTAGCCTCAGGTGTCTCATCGTGAAAAGGTCTGAAGTTTAGAGTCTTTTTGTATTACTCTAACAGATTTAACAACCTTCTATGCTTAAATGCAAGCATGAGGTGGCTGTGTTCTTGGTGCTGGCCTTACTTAGTCTCTTTATGTAGTCGAGAGAGTTGGTCTCTTGTATTTCCTTTAAAATTGTTTATCATAGTATTCAGAGCGTGGGGGGAAGCAAGTAGGTAATATAGGTAGCTGTGCATTTCTTTGAAAATTAGTGAAGGAGCCTTAGACATGGCTCATACTGGTTTGACAAATGTCTGGAAAGGAGCTGGTTCCCTGTAGGAACTGACAGCTCTCTGTGTGAGTGTAGATTGTGAAATAGTTAAACCACATCACTTCACAAGCACATTGCTCATTTACAGAAACAGGGAACGCCGAACAGACCTCCACTTCTCTTCAGAGTGCTGATAATAGCTTTGGCTCACACTGATACTCGCATGCGTTTCCTCTATGCACAAAATATAAGGACAGTGACAATTGTGGTAGAGATGATAGTGTGATACTTAAAGAGAGTGAGAACCAAGATTGAAATGAATTTTAATGTTTAATCTCTGGAGGCTACCATGTTACTGAGATTTGCTTTCCCACAAACACACCTGCTGTTAAGCAGTGGGTTTGCTCTCAATGGCACTTGTTTCAACCACAGTCCCATCACAGTCGTTGAGCATGGAGTTTTAAAATAAAGTGCTCTTAATAGCGAAGAAAAAAAGTCCTCATAAGCAAGCATTAGTAGAGCACGATGGGAAATTGATGGTTAAAGCAGAGAGGATTAAAGACTTGAAGTGATTCTGTTCTCTAGTAATTTCTAACAGAAAGGCTCTACCTGGTTTTGGCAAAGACATCATACACGTGGGTGTATGGTGCGTCTGGTTAGCAGCTATGTAAGCATGTGTACCTCCAAAGAAAGATGATTAGTAGGTACTTTGCTACAATTTTGTCATTATAATGTCTAAAATAGATTTTTAATTTAGTAGATGGATATGTGTCTATGCTTGTGGTTCAGTGTTACGTAGGAATGGAGAAGTGAGGTTCTTTTCCCTCCTCAATTACGTGATGGAAATGGGAGGCTGACTGGTACACTGCCATCACTCCTCACTGCTGGCAGAAGTTGTCTGTTGCCTTGTCCACTGGGTTGTCCTGAAAAGGATAACATAAGTAAATGTGAGTGTGGCAGTTAGAAGGCTGGGGCGCGAGCTTGGCTCTGGGAACTCAGACTTCTGATCTCTTTCTGAAACCAGCTTTACATCAGGTCTTGGCTTTTTTGTTACTATTGTCCACCATCCCACCTTTTGCTGGCATTGCTGATTTTCCAGAAAGAGAAAAGGAACAAAGCTTACCTACAGGGAAGACTAGAAAAGATCTGGAAAATGCCTTGGGAAGAGAACGTACCTGTAAGGAACTGGCCCTTGAGCAGTGTCTGTGCTTGCTCAATGTCACAGTTCCTTGTTTGTTTTCAGACGCTGATTTAAAATCAGTGGTAGATGATCAGCTGAGATACTGCGTTTTGCTAAATTGTTGGAAAAGAACATACAGAGTCTTAAACTGTTGTTCTTTAATGTTTGGCACGAAATGCGGCCTGGAGTTGAAATGCTTTATGCCCTTTTTAAAAAGTGTGCCTTTTGAAGAGGCACATACTGGGGACAGTTTTAACGTCAGAGCAGCATTCATGCTCTGCTATTGCACAGCTGTCTGTGGATTACAGCTGAAACGTGTTCAAATAAGACCAAGCTAACATCTCAGAAATGTGGTTCTCCTTCCATTCCCTACTTTTCTTGATTACTTTGTAATATTTCTCTAATTTGGGTATGAACTGCTGAAGCACCATAAGTCTTCTACAAATCAGCGAATTCCAGTTGTAAAGTTCAAATTTTGTGTTGGCAAATATACTTAAGTTATTGTAGGTGCAACAAACAAGAAGGTTTTTATTACGAAGCTAAGAATGTAATGCTCCTCTTGGGCAAATTCATGTACTAAGTACCTTAGGCTGACTAGACCTTGGGCGAAAGGAAGTACAGAATCTTTTACCCTTTTAATGCTTTCAATATATTTAATAGCTATTTTGTTTTTTATGTTGAAGTCTGATTGCTGTTTTCACACAGCCTGTTGTGTTTCTGATGTTCACAAGCCTTGCCTGAGTAGGATGCTATTATACAAAGATGACAGAGAGCTCGGTAGATGTTTCCATAAGCTGTGTTCTTCTGATCATGCCAGAGCTGTGATGATTCAACCCCTACAATATTTACTTATCCTCTGCTGTTTGTTTTTCACATGCCATCTCGCTGTTGTCACTATTTGATTGACTCTCCTGTTTGATGTTCTCACCGAGATACATTAGTTACTGTCCGGCAGTCACACTGCTATAAAAGTAGTGATACTCTTGCTAAGGTAATGTCTTTCTAAACCTTTCATTGAAGAGGTTTGTTGTCTGCCATTCTTGTCCGTAAGTCAAGTTTCCTTGAAAACATCATGAGACCCAATAGTTTTCAGTAGGTGATCTGGAGAAATACTGCAATTAATAACAGGCCCTGTGGGACGTGGGCAGCTCGAGCTGTAGAGTTCAATACTAGCCATCAGGTATTTTCTGAGCCCACAGTGATGCTATTCAAACCAATAGAACTGTTTTTTTTCTTTCTTGACTTGTGTACTTTCTGCTTCAATATAATAGGAACTAAATCAATCAATTCTGAGAAAAGGTCTTTGCTTCCAGAGGGCATTCAAGCAAACATAATGGTACCTGAACTTTGAGGAGACAACTGTATTGTAATTAAGAATATTAACCATTCCCTTGAAATAGTGTTTTCTGTTGTATAAGAGATTATTTCATCAGATATATACCCTAAAAGAATCTAACATTCTAGGTGAGATGGAGGGGAGGGAGTCCTCTGCTAATTACTAATATGGCAATGATAAAAGGAGATTTCATTTTATGTCTGTTAACACCACTTACCCCCATCGTATGCATGCATGTTTTAAAGAAAGTTCATCATATGAGAAGGCAAATCAAGTGAATGATATCAATCAAAGAGTCTGGACCTCACAGTTCTCATGGAGCACCTAACCATGTAGCCTGCCTTCTGCTTCTTTTTAAGCTCTAAATTAAAAAGGTTTTGTTTTGTTTTAAGGTATCTCAGAGCCCTACATTGAAATATTTGAACAACCCAGGCAAAGGGGCATGCGGTTCAGATACAAATGTGAAGGAAGATCGGCAGGTAGCATTCCAGGAGAACACAGTACTGACAACAACAAGACATTCCCATCTATACAGGTAATACTAATTTATCCGTAAGTTACCAGTGCCTATATTTTCTTTGTGCTGTAGCTTTGTGTTATCCTTAGTGTAGTAAATAAAATGGTTTTCATTACATATTCTGTTGTTCTTTCCTTGGCATGCAAATGTAGTTGCAACACAGTGCGGAAGAAAGAGTTCTTTGCTCCTAGTTGTTTTGTTCCCATTTACCAGAGAAGAAGGCATAGTGATATGTAGCAAAGTGCCAGTAGAAAAGGAACTCGGTGAATTTGTCTGGGAATCACTCAGTTATTAACTAATTAACTTTCTGCATTTACATTTGTTCTGGTTTCTTAGTTATGTGATTTGGGCTTGTTTTTACTATTTTGATCATAATGTGAATTTTGGGAGAGTTTTGAAGGAAGTTGTCTGCTTACAAATTTCGAAAAGGCCAGGCTAGGTGCTGGATATAACATGGGAAGAGGCACTTTGTACAAGTGAACAAAGTAAGAGAGTGACTTGCTGCAGGTGATTTAGTGATAAGGCTCTGCACAGTGAAGTATATGAGTTCAGAAGGGGATACAGAATTTTAAAAGGATCTGAGAAAGGGGAAATGAGCAGCCAGAGCACCTGCAATGAAGACTAGTCGGATGACTGCATTATGGTTAGGTTGGGAAATCCAGAATGAAGGGTTTCATACTAATCTTTGATCAAAGCAGGGACAAAGACGTGGACAGTACATATCTTGTCTGTCGTTTTCTTTCATATGCAGAACTGAGGAATGTAAGAGATGCTAGACAGGTTGGGTGAAGTAGAAGAGTTTCTGGTTTCCTATTTGATGTTTAGGTTGGCAATATTTCCTTAATAATGGTCTCCTTCAGTCTGGAGAAGTCTGGATATCTTCAGAGATGAGATTATAATAGAAACTCGCATGTGAATGGAAGGAAATGAGTACCTGCCATCTTGATATATGCTATTACAGTGCAATATTTAAAAGATAAAATGGAGCCAATGTTGGAGTATCTGGAATCACAGAGATAAAAGAATAGGTACAGAAAATGTGAAATCTGAAAAGTGAGAAGTTTTAGACTGAGACATAAAAATTCCTTGAGAAGAGGGAGAGTGGAGAAAGGTAGTATTGGCAGTTGTATGTTGAGCAGCATAGAGAGCCTCTGCTAGATAAAGCAATTGTGCTGCTGAGAAAGCTGCTCTTCCCCTGAAGCCAGAATTCCTAAGGAGGAAGCAAACAAGAAGGACCCCTTTTCAGGGTTATAGCACCTGAGTTGAATCAGGAATGCAGAAAGTAATTCCTTGTTGAATTGGTAAAGTGCTGAAAAAAAACAATCTGGCAAGGTCTGTATGTATGCTAACAGAAATAAATACTTTGACAGAAGTTACTGAGTGGTATGAGCCCTTGATTCCTCTCATCCTTGACTGTGCTGTGTGTGTGAAGGTCATCCAGAACCTAAAGGGAAGGTTGAACTCAGATGACTATGCAATCCTGGCTTAGTTTCTTCTTTTCTAAAGATGGCTATTGATAACAGAGCTGATGGATACTGATAGTAGGTGATTTCAGGGTGAATTCCTGCCTCCCTGAAGCCTGTATGAGGCTTTGGTGCTGATTTAGCTGCTAGGGGAGTCCCCTCCAGAGATGGCAGTGTCAGTGAGGATGAGAAAAGAGAGGCGAGGATGATACTAAATTTCATGTTTTGGGTGAGGTGGAAAACGTTACGGAGGAACTAGAGAACTGAAGTGGCTAAATCAGTCCTCATGTTCAGGGGACTAGGTATGCAATGAGGGAGAAGTTATGTAATGTTTGAAGAAGCTGAAAGAGCAATGGAAGCTTCATTGAAGGATAAATAGTGTGTATGAATACTGATGGAAGTTAGAAGAGCGTAGTTCAAGTCAGAGGTTGAGGTGCTGAGTGGAAAAACGTGATGGATCCATGGAGTATCTTGGAAGAGGTAAGAAAGGGCTGAAGGAAGAAAAACAGTTACAGGATGGAGGAAGTGGAGGTGGAGACCACGCCTCTGCACAACCTGTGCTGGTGCAAATCTTGCGTGTGCTTTCAGGTTGCTATACTTCAAACAATTTAGGCCAAACTGTTTTTTAAGCCTCTCCCACGCAAAGCTTGCTGACTTCACTGCTAGCTGTCAGTATGAAGGAAGACTTGCTCACCTGAGATGTGAGCGGAGTCTGACTTCTTTGAAGGCAACAGTAGGGCTTGAGAATGCAGTGCCCCTCTTCTTAAATGTAAGACCGAATACTCACCTGCAGATTAAGGAGGAAGACTTTGCAGGGGCTTATGCCATGCTCTATTTTATAAGATCCTCACTGACTGCTTTGTGTTCCATTCACAGGAAATATCCCTGAGGCTCTAGAAGCTTCTTCCTAAAAATCTTTGGAGCTAGAACTGCCCTTAAGTAAACATTTGTGTACAGTTGCTGGGTGGAATTTTGCATCTTACGCTGTAACACCAGATGTGAAATATGTCTTCTTTTGGTCTTACACCAAAGCTGTTTTACTTTCCAGTAAAGAACTGGAATAGAATGAATGGTCTGAATGGTCTTGGCTTTTCTTTCACAGCTTTTTCTTTTAGTTGTGGTGTTTCTTCCATATGGTATTTTAGGATTAGATATATTTTTTGTTACGTGCTCACACTTCACTAGTCCTGATATCTGAATCTAGAAAATCTCTCTTATTCTTCTAGATTCTAAACTATTTTGGAAAAGTCAAAATAAGAACTACATTGGTAACAAAGAATGAACCCTACAAGCCACACCCTCACGATCTAGTTGGAAAAGACTGCAGAGACGGCTACTATGAAGCAGAGTTTGGGCCCGAACGGCGAGTCTTGTCGTGAGTAGTGGTGGTGTTCGGGAATCTGATTAATTATGCAAGTGATATGCTC